TAGGTCTTTTTGAGAGCATGAAGATCGTTGATGATCTTTGAGAACCGGTCGAACATGTCATCAATTTTCTCACCTTCTTTCATCCGGAACATTTCGTACTCTTGGGTGAGGAAGTCGATCTTGGCTTCGCGAACTTGATCGGTACCTTCGTACGTCACTTCAAGCTTGTCCCACATCTCCTTGGCGGTTGTGCAACAGGAGATCTTTCGGTAGTCATCAGGGTTGACCGCGCAATATAGCATATTGATGGCCTTTGCATAGTTTTCGATCTTCTTGATGTCCTCGGCATCAAATTCGTTTTTGGTCTTTGGGACCGTGGTTTCTCCCACTTTCTTCATAGGGATTTCTTCGCCATTTTTGATCACCAACCACAATTGGAAGTTGCTGGAACGAATATAGATTCTCATCCGTTCCTTCCAATAAGAGTAGTTGGTGCAATCAAAGAGTGGTGGCCTAGAGGTTGATTGACCTTCTCCAATTCCTGCATAGAGATTTCTAGAAGAAGAGCCCATGATCGCTTTACTCTCAAACGGTTAAGTTTGGACGCGACTTAGGCTCCGATACCAATTGTTAGAATAATAGACCAACGCTAGAGGGGGGGTGAATAGCGTTTGATCAAAAATTCGCAGGAATAAAAATGAATAAGCGAGAAGTAAAGAGAAAAGAACGAGGCACACCAATTTTACCCTGGTTCACCACAACTTGTGGCTAGTCCAGCCTCCCGAGAGACTCTCTCGAGCTACACTATTATCTCGTTAAGCTTAACGGTGCTTAACAAACCCGTACAACTTGAGAATTCGAGTCACACGAACCTCAACGAACCTTCGAAGGAAACAACCCTTCCTTCGAACAACAAGAGAGACACCTTCTCTTGTCAAGTGTCTAAGAACACTAAAAACACTCAAGAACAATACTCTCTTTTAGAGTGGATAATGAGTAAACTAAGAACGCTCAAGAACACAACACAGGCTTCACAAAAATGGCTCTCAAAAGCTATGAAAAATTGAAGAATGATTTGCAATGAAAGAGTAGGAGTTGTGAAGTATTGTTATTTGTAAAACAGACCCAAACACCCCATTTTATAGTAGAAAAATAGGCTCCAACGGACCAAAGTATTTAAGGGGTGATTGACATAATTTGTGGGATTTGATTAAAATTGGATCTGCTGAAATTCACCCAGACAGCGCTGTCCTAGGCTTGGACATCGCTGTTCTAGGCTTGATTTTTAAAAATTGGGAAGCAACGGTCATGCCAACAACGATGTCCAAAACCCCTACATCGCTGTTTTGGCTGTTGACTTCCAAACAAGGAAAGTTTTATCCTTAAATTCCTTCCAACGGTCAGGTCTCTACATCGATGTTTTATCCTAGAACATCGCTGTTTAGGTCTGCCTTTGGAGATGGAAGTTTGGCCTGACAGCGCTGTTGCTGGGTCAACATCGCTGTCCAAAAACTTTCTGCCAATGCACTAAATTTTTGGCTTAGGTTGGACAGCGCTGTAGGGAAGCCTACATCGCTGTTCCAGAAGTTTCTGGAAATCCAACCTTGGCTCAACAGCGATGTCTAGTGACCAACATCACTGTTGGAAGAATTAACGCCAAACCATGTTTTTAGCTACCTAGTCCAGACAGCGCTGTTGATTATCTCTACATCGTTGTTGGGCTGGTTTAGCCAGACCCATGGTTGGTTTAGTCACGCCGTTAGCCGATGTCAAAAATGCAAGTTCTCCAAAATAAAAACCAAGTTTAGAAAACATTTGTTTATTGCATTTTTCTAAGAGAACAAGTAAAACATCTTGAAAACCACGTCATTTAGTTGAAAACCACGGCTAACCAAGTTCGTGCCGTTTCGCATGATTTTTACTAAACGACAAAAAACGGAGAGTGGTTTTTGAGGCGTTTTTGTTGGAGAGCTAATTAAATGTGCCCAGAGATAAAAACCAGTCATAAAAAGTTGAAAACCACTTGGTTGGTTCGAACGCCAAAAACCAATGCCGAAAGCCGAATGCCGGTTTCTGAAGGCCGAACGCCGGATGGCTTGGTTTTTGGCTTGGGCGAACTCCAAGTGTTTTGACCCAAGTTTAAACTTAAGAAAAAATAGTTATGAACATGTAAAAGAGATTTTTATGAAATGAGCCTAGAGAGCCAAGATTTGGAATTTTGTGTCGGTCTTGATCACATTAAGACCGACTCAATACGATTTTAGTTCTTCGTTCTTGATTCTGGGTTCTTGGTTCTCAAGTCATCATGCCATGTTCCTTCGCCTTAGTTTTGCTCACTTTAGCTTCGATATGTCGCGGTGGTTTGGCATTATCAAAACCTGTCATAAAAACAGAACACAGTTTAGTACGACGTAAGGCGTAAACCCGTGTTCCAACACAACCTAGGTATATCTCAGAGTTCTTCTAGATATCCTATAATCCAATTCATTTTATAACCATCATTTCATTCAAAATAATCATCATCGTTAATCCATAAAATTCATTATAATCAATAATCAGACAATCATCATAATATCCAATAACAATTAGCGGCCTAGCGTCGAGTGTTAACACCCTAGCTTATCGTCATGCATCACATAAGATCCTTTTAGTTGTCAAATCATCATTTACATTCCAATAAATCATCTTTATATTAGTCATAATTTATTGGTATCAAAAATAGGATTCCATAGTTCAACAATCATGTTTTCTAAACAATAATTGATTAATATATGATTAATAATTGATTCTCCAAGGAATTTTCCAATTATAATCGTGTTGATTTCATTGACGTACTCATTTGTAGTAGTTAGTATTATTCTCCCCATCAACGTATATGGATCGTGTTGAAAGATGTTCAAGTTTGGGTAAACAGCTTTGATCAGTAATGATAACAAATTTGAAGTGTCGGTGGTACGGATAAGGAATTCTTGTGGGATTTTGATGTTTGTACCACTTATAGTTGGCATTGTCCCATTTCCAATCTCCATTAGATACTCACAAAAAGAGGGATCAGACTGCGCCCGAACATTTTCTTCTAAAGTGAGGCGTATAATCTTTGGCCAAATAAAGGATGATTTTACAATACAAGCGTTTATAGAGTCTTGTCTATTTCCATTACTGACAATACGAAGTGTTTGACGTAGATCTCCTCCGAAAACAATGACTTTTCCTCCAAATAGGTCATCGGAGGACATAATATCTTTAAGTGTTAAATCTAATGCCTCTATGATTCCGCGGTTAGCCATTGTAATCTCATCCCATATGATGATTCGTGCTTCTCTAAGTAATGTTGCTATTGCACTTTGCTTACCAATGTTGCAGGTGTGTCTATCATTTCCATCCAATGGTAATTTAAACCTAGAATGTGTCGTGCGGCCTCCTAGAAGAATAGAAGCAGCAATACCTGATGTTGTAGTAGCTAAAGCTATCCATTTTTTTCTCCAGATTGTTGCAAGCAAAGCTCTGTATAAAAAAGTTTTTCCGGTGCCACTAGGGCCGTCTACGAAAAATACTGTTGGTTTGTTAGATGTCACACTCTTCGTAATAGAGTCAAATGCAATCTGTTGTTCGCTATTCAGAATCTAAGCGCATTGAAGGTCTTGCTCGCTAATATTTATGTTATATTCTGATCTTAATTCTCGTGCCTGAATTTCAGCAACTGTTAAGGGTATGGCATAGTCTGTTAAGTTGAATGTGAGAATACTTTTTCCAAGTGCTTCAGTAATATCTCCAACAAGTTTTAGTGTCACTATTTCCATTTCTAATGGAGTGTATATGTTTACCTGTGAAAAATCTTCATATAGATACGTTTTGTATTTAGCCCATAACTCTCTTGGATTTGGAATGTCACAAAACACCAATATTGTTGCAAATAATCTCTGCAAGCTATTGGGCATTTGATACATCACAGCCTCTTCAAGGCAAACATCTGCTGTAGCATTTCCTGTTAGAAACCCCATTCTTTCTTCACTTTCTCGGAATGTGGATGCTATATAACCATCCACAAGTTTTAGACTGCGAATGATGTTGGATCTTTAACATGTTGGAGTAGCATGTGAAGATAATATCTTTCGCCCTCAATTGGATTAACACTCACAAGTCGTCCTATGATGTTTTTACGCTTTCGTACCGTCCACATCTTGTTTGTGTCTGACCAAACAAAAAACTCTGGGAATTGAACATAAAAAAGCTGGAGTCTTTGTGTAGTCACATCGTATAGGTTCATTTCAAAGAATTTTGTCAACATTGTGCTTGACCTGCTGTCATCTTTCACTATTCTTGTGATTCTTTGATTTCTGTACTAAAAGTTTTCCAGGTGTACTTGTAATTGTAGAACGGGGGGATACATTTCGGCAATGGTGAAGGCAAATGTCCTCCATGCTGCCTCTGGTGCCGAAACCCATCTTGCATTTTGATAAGCTGTAATCTCGTCATGGGCAAGAGTGTTTTTATCATTTGTGATTCCAATTGAAATTCTATCATGTCTTTTGTAAACATATTTATATATGTACTTCAGGGATCTAATTGAAGCATAGATCTCAACATTAATGTGGCAATCAAATTTCAACAAAAGTTGTGGATTATATGGTACCACCCAAGAATTATCAAGTTTGTAGCTCCGTATTTCTACACAATTAGTGCCACTTCTCCTGCGGTAGACTGGGAATGAATCTTCACCAAATGATGTTTCCTCAATTAAAGATCTCGGATACTTGTTTCTACAGGAGGCTGTTAGCTATCCCTTTTTTCATCATACATGGGCAAATTTAATTAATGGTGCCACAAGGCCCATGTATCATGTGTTTCTTAACAAGTGTATATAGACGTGGTTGATGTAGAGGGTCGGGTATTTCTGCACAAACAAACTTGTCGCATGAATGGGGACTTTGAATTTTTGAAGCAACTTTTAGGATTATAAGAAAATGTGCATGGGGAAGGCCACACTTTTTAAATTCAATTACGTATATATATGCTGCAACTTCCCCAAAAAAATTCTTCTTGATTATGTCATTCATGAATTCTTGTAAATGTGCATGAAAGACTCTACATACAATATCTGGCCTATTTTGTGCCTTATCTCTGTGTTGGAGATGTTCTTTTATTTCAGGCCAATTAGGGTTACAGGTCATTTTGACAACCAAATCTGGTTTCATATGCAAGCATCTGCATAATTCTAGGCCGTGTTGTAAGCTTCTTGGTAGGACTGAGGAGGTCTTCTACAGAATTCTTTGCATAATTCCCTAGAGCGGAGCCCGAAGACCATGAGGGACATTGCGGTTTTGTCGTCCATCTCCTCCACCTTGTCAACTTCATCATTTGGTTAGATCCTCGTGTTCCCTCTGCCCGGCCGTACTCAAGTAGGTGAATTTCTTCCTCTTGGTACAATTTTCTTTGAATTTTTCCTCGAACACCTCTACCGTTTCGTCAAAGGAGTCGATCTCACCAGACGGGAGGTTGTGAAACCACTCGGCGGCTCGGCCGTGGAGGGTTTGGAATAAAAGCTAACATTTTTCATCTCCGGTGAGTCCCACCACTATCCCACTTTGGTGGAGGGTTTTGATATGGATCTCTGGGTCCTCCTTGCTGGTGAATTTTGGGACCTTGAGTTTAGCCTTCTTTGGAAACGGGGTCTCATGCACCTGGTCAGTGAATGGAGATTCATTCAGGAAAACTTTTTTCTTTTCATCCCGGTCCACCCGCCTTTGCAACTTCTCCCTAGGTTGTTCAACATGTGTTCGGACCGTGTGCCTTGGATGACTTTTCACTTCCTCTTCCTCATGAGGCGCCCGGCTGTGCTCAGGCACAAACTGACGGGGAGGTTTGGTTTGCATGGTTCGACCAGGTCATCCGCCTCCTCTCTGCAGCCGCTCAAAAGTGCTCACCGGGATCATTTCCACCCCCAACCGCTCCTTGGCCGGTCAGTTCTGATTCCTTCCTTCGTGTCCCAATCTCTGGAACACTGGCCGTCTGGATCCTTCCGGCTGGACCGCCTTGTCTTTCAACTTCTTCAAGGCCTGGGGCACGTGCTAGTCTTCGTCTTTGCTGTCAACCAAATGCACATCCCCGTATGGTGTTATTCGGGTGTGAGACATTCGAGATTGACTCATTCTAGACTGGGACAGTCTAGCTTTATTCATTTCCCCGAACATATACGTCGGAACGACCGGCCGGATAATGCTAGTTGGTTGGAATGGTGGGGGCCGGGGAGCCCAGTTATGTTTGTGAGAGAAGCACTTTGGGGCAAGGTTTGTGGACACAGCCTGGAATGAAGGGGGAAAACCCTCCCGGGTGTTGAATCATGGACATGAATTGTCCAAAGCTTTCAAGCGCCTGGGAATAAATTGGGTCCATGGGCCCAGGGAAGGTTGGAGGGAAAACAGGGACGGAAGTTATCAGGAAAGTGAATGGGGTAGGTGTCGGGATGGTGATTATAGGAGTAGGGATTGGTGTAGTGGGCGGGGGCAGGATATTTCCTCCCGGGAATACCGTAACGCTCTCAACCGGGGTGGAGATCTGTAAAATAACGATTTCTTGGTTGTTTGTCATGGCTTTTCATAAAGAGGTCCTGCGGGTGGCGCCAATTTGATTGTGTAAATACCATGCAAATATTAAGTGTAAATGAGCGGAAGGGCGGTAGGTGGAAACACGTGTAACTCGATTTGTTATTAATGATTGTAGGAATGTTTATAAGATATAAGCTGTAATTAAAGCATGCCTCACAAATGAGGCTTTTAGTTCTATTTATAATAATGACTAAACACGTCAAGCACGTCTCTACTCTTCCGACCAGTCAGTCCCCAACCGGTCACCTTGCATGCCTTCGTCAGATGAATCCATGTCTGTAATTACGAATCTTCTCAGCCCTGACTGGTCAGACTGCCCAGGTCGACCAGGTCATAGGACGTCGGATTTGATACCTCTTAGTCGGTATGAACCTACCAGGTGGAATCCATGCGTTATTACTCATCAGCTCTATTTTTTTGAGTAGTAAAAACAAAACTGGATGTTTGAAGAATTAAGAAGATGTTGGAAAAACTAGAAGTTGGAAGAGACTCGAAGAGCAAATTTTTAAGTGAAAATGATTAATATTGTAAATTAATAGAAGAGGCGGGCGATATCATTGCAGGTGTATGGTCTGGCACAGAAAAAGAGGGAAATGAAGACTTCAAAAGATTGGGGCCCAACGAGATTCTTTTCCATTTTAAATGCTCTTAGAATCACGCCACTTTTTATATTACTCTGTGTTCAAAACTTTTAGCTTCTCCAACAAACTAATTGTTTGCACTTGCACAAATAATTATTTTCTGTCTCTATCTATACAAAATTAGATGTCAAAATGGTGTCAAAAATATGGTGTCACCTTAGCAAAGTTGATGGATTATAAGACTCCCTCAGTCCCTAAAATTCGTTCTCATTTTGACTTTTATGTAATTTAAGAGAGAGATATTTTGTGATGACTTTTCTTGAATAACCTTTAATGAGATGGGTAAAAATAAGATGTGATATATATATTGTTGAAACACAATCAATAATTAAACTTATTTCAGAAGATTATAAAGTAAATAATTAGAAGAACCTGATTCATAGTCCCCTTTACATTTGTTTTTTTTCTCATTAGCTTCCCACTTAATTAGCTGCTCTCATTTTGTGGTGAACTACTTGGTACAGTTTGCTTCCCAATTTCGCCACTCTGATTGAATATGAAAACTCTGTGTTGGATCCACTTTATATAACCCAAAAGAGTTTAAGCCGATGGGTATAGCCTAATTAGATCATGCCTTTAGCACTACTTGTCATGCAAAATATGTTTGATTAGTCTGATTTCAATCCATTTGAAGTAACTGTATGTTGCATGTGTGTAACAATTTTTTGTTCATGGGATTTGAACTTGAACCGTTTCAGTATTGTTTCTTTATAACCTAACATGGGTGGCCCTTTGTAACCATCACATGCCAGTGTTGTCTCACCCGTATATTTATTAAGTCTAAGTAGACCATCTATCAGGGTCCGCACTACTTGTCATGCAAAATATGTTTGATTGGTCTGATGTCAATCCATTTGAAGTAACTTCCTGTTTCATTTCTGTTACAATTTTTTGTTCATGGGATGTGAATTTAAACACTTAGAGTTGTATGTGGCTGCTTAGCTAGCTATTTCAGGGGTGGTTACCCTTGAAGTTGTATGTGAACACTTAGATTTGTTTTCCATGTGGTTTCCCTTAAAGTTGTATACTAGCTGCTTAGCTATTTTAGGGGTGGAGGAATCAGCAGCAGCTTTAGTTTTTAAAAAAACACAATAAGGAGTATTGTCAAGATCCAAATGTTTAGTTAAGGGACCAAATTGGTTAATAGTTGGGCAGGTAGTAACAGGACACATATTTTCATCCTTAATAGGCATGGTAGTGTGTATGCCCTCCAAGCACTCAATATTTTTAATATCTATTGTCCATATGGGAGGTGAATCACATTAAGTACAGTAGGAATAGTGCCATTGGTAGGGACAATTGTAACTTCTTTAGACTCTGTAGGGGGTCCAAACAATATCTAATTTGAAGAATGGTTTCAATATGTGCTATGGTTGCTTTATACACTATTTAATTTGAAGAATAAAATCAATATGCATGTGGAATGGTTTCTATGGTCTGTTTAAACACTATTTAATTTGTTTTATACGAGCCCTGCTTGCGCTAGTCATTAACTAGATTATTTCTTTATTAATATTTTTTAAATTTGCAGATCAAGTGTCAATACGAGAGATACCATTTAGTTTCTACTTTGGGTGGAATTATAATCAAGATAGATGTGACAAGATGAAATGAAAAGATGAAGCTTAGATGTTAAGCGCTTAGGATACTTTTGTCATCTTTAGTACTATATTTATTTTATGTCAAAACCCTATTATATTAACAATTTTGAACGTTTGATTGTTTGGGATTGAATTATAATAATTTAATTCTCATTAATATTAGGTTGGCCACAAAAAAGTGATAATTGTAGCAATTAATATTTGCTACTAAACATGAATTTTTGTGGCAAAGTATAATTTGTGGCATCATAAATTTGCTACGAAATATGCCTTTTTTATAGCAAATAATATATTGTGGCAACTAAAATAAGCCACTAAACATGACCTTTTGTGGCAAATTTTTATTAATGGCAAATCATATTTTGCCACAAAACTATAATTTTTGTGGCAAATTTAAATTTACCACAAATACCTTTTGTAACGAGGTATATGTGGCAACTTAGTGACAAATTCCAAAATTGCTACAAATAACTATTGTGGCTAATTTTTTATATTTTGTGGCAAAATTTGGTGCCACAAAATGTCAAGTTTTTTGTAGTGCATACAAAGATTTACCCAAACAGCAAACCTTACCGGGAATAAAAAATCCAGGCAGCAAACGCATGTATACTTCTTCAATCAAACCCCCATTCAGAAATGCATTATTCACATCAAGTTGGTGAATCTCCCAACCTTTAGCAACTGCAAAAAAATAAGAGAATATGTACCATTCCTATTTTTGCTACAAGAGAAAACGTGTCTATATAGTCCGTGCCAAATTCTTGAAGATTGCCCTGTACAACAAGACGGGCTTTATCTAGTTCTTTTGAACCATCAGAATGAAATTTGGTACGCTACACCCACTGATAGCCCAAAGCCTTCTAATCAGGAGGAAGGTCCGTGATTTCCCAGGTATGATTATTCTCCAATGATGTAGTCTCCTGCTGTATGGCCAAGTGCCAATTTGCACGCTTCACGGCCTCCTTAAAAGTTGTGGGCACCTCATGAGTGTAGAACCTCAGGCGCTACCAACTCCTCTAAAACCAATTGGTGTTAGAAGAGGCGCATACTGTAACACCCCGGCCCCCACCCTAGCCGTAAGTGTCTGCTCATAGGATTGTAGACAGGCCACACAAACCAACACAAGTCTTTCCCGCACACTTTGTCCTCACTCGTGCGCGCCCAAGGAAAATTTCCCAGGGGGTCACCCATCCTAAAATTACTCCAGGTCAAGCACGCTTAACTTTAGAGTTTCTAGGTAATGAGCTCTCGAAAAGAAGATGCACCTTGTTAGTATGAGTAGTACTATCAATCCTTTTGAGCTCTTCTCATTCCCATCTTAATACGGGGCATTACATTTACCCCCACTTAGGAATGCAACGTCCTCGTTGTATCCTCCTTTTTTTAAACCCTTAGATCTTCCCCGCTATGTGAACTAAGCTCTCTGATTGTAGACTGGCCCCACAAACCAACACATGTCTTTCCCGCACACTTTGTCTTCACTCATGCGCGCCCAAGGAAAATTTCCCAGGGGGTCACCCATCTTAAAATTGCTCCAGGTCAAGCACGCTTAACTTTGGAGTTTCTAGGTGATGAGCTCTCGAAAAGAAGATGCACCTTGTTAGTATGAGTAGTACTATCAATCCTTTTGAGCTCTTCCCATTCCCATCTTAATACATGGCATTACACATACCCTAGCCTTATAGTACATTCAGCACACAAGCGCCCAGGACATTCGATTGTGACTTGGCCCACATAGCCTCCGCTACGGGACAATTGATGCACACATGGCCAACAATCTCCCACTCAGCAATTGCTCCTGCTGGGAATCGAACTTTGGCTCCGATACCACTTGTAGGACCTCAGGCGCTACCAACTCTTCTAAAACCAATTGGTTTTAGAAGAGTTGGTAGCGCCTGAGGTCCTACAAGTGGGATCATAGAATTCAATCCTACAGTGACTTAGTCGAATAAGTCTTCACTTAGTCGAATAAGTCTGCGTTTTTCACTCTGATCTATTCGGATAAGTCTGAGTTTATTCAAATAAGTCGTCAGTTTGAACTGCAGATTTGTCAGTTTTTAAGGAAGTTATCCATCCTTATCTTCCATAACTTACACACAACGGCTCTTTTGCTTGAAGAACATTATATATATTCATTCAAACATATTCTTTTAACAATCCAAGCATTTTCAATTCATACTTTTGATCCTTCAACAATACTTCCAAGCGATTCTTTAAGAAATCTCTATCTGCTTGAGTTTTGGAGAGTACTAGTGTGTCATACTCTATAAGATCTTGTATTCTACAGCAATCCACTCTTAATTTGAAGAGTATTTCCGCTGTGCACTTTGTTTTGTAACGGTGTGTGAATTGTAAAAACTTGAAGTTGTTATAATTCAAGTTTAGGAGAGAAATCTTGAGTCTTGTGAAATCAAGACTTCGGTGGAAAGGTTAGAGGCTTGTGAATTCAAGTTCTCGAGTATGTTGTAATCGGATTGTCAAACTCCGTTAAGGTTGATGAAGTTAGTGGAATCTCGAGCACGTTTGCTTCGGGGACTGGACGTAGGCATTAGGCCGAACCAGTATACATCGTGTGTTGCTCCTTCTCCTCTTCTTTGTCTTCTTGTGGTTGATATAATCCTGCGAATTCTTGTTTAATCTTCCAAAATTTTTGATTTTTGAAAAACACCTCTATTCACCCTCCCCCCCCTCTTGAGGTGCGTAAGTTGTTCAACAATGAGAGGAAACATCAACCAAATATCCATGTTACATATCATGTTATGTAATTTCTCATAATGAACAAAACTATAAATATGATACTGAGTACATGAAGAGCTTGAAGAGGCAATGGAAGGAACACTAGGAGTCACTCTCTAGGTAGTATGGAAATAATAATCCGAAAGTTGAGGTAGAGGACGACGGGCACGAACTGGTGGCAATGGAGGCAAAGAAGCTAAGGTGGCGAAAGAGGATTGTCCAGGCGGGCAGTCTCATCGTCGCTAGTGAGTGGGACGGTAGGCAGCCCAGAGTCATTAAACGGGATGCCAGGAGTCATGGCAGGAACTTGGTCATCATCGGTTAATTGTGAAGGAAACTTGCCATCAACAGTTAGGCGAGGAGGTTCCGGTGAGGAGACGGAATTTTTCGAAACATCAAAGGGAAAATAGACTCATCAAACAAAATATCCCTTGTGTGAAAACAATGATGAGATTCAAGATCATATACCCGGCAACCTTTTGTCCCTATAAAATATCCCACAAACATATATTTAACACTACATGGGTAAAATTTATTAGGTGGTCGTTGCACATGGCGAATAAAACATAGATACCTAAAAAGATAAGACAAGTGTGGAAGTTTTGTAGAAAGGAGTTCATAAGGAGACTTACCCTCCAAGACTGGAGTTGGGGTGCGATTGATAAGATATACCGCGGTGATTACACATTTCCCCCAAAATTCAAGAGGGAGAAAAGCCTGAAACATTAGATCAGAGAATGAGTGGCACTAAGAATATGACGATGTTTGTGCTCAACTAGACCATTTTGCTGTGGAGTATTGACACAAGATGTTAAACTAGAACCCTCATAATACTGTAACATTGACGCAATGGCTTATTTAGAAATTCAGTGCCATTATCAAATCACGTAACTTTAATGACTTCACTATATTGAGTCTGAATAAGGCTAAAAAATTGTTTAAGTAACTTGTGACTTCACTGTTTTCAATAATCAGAAAAATCAAAACGACCTGATAATAATCATCAACAATGGTAAGAAAGTAATGAGCCCTAGTAGAAATACAAAGAAAATAAGGACCCCATAAATCATAAAGAATTAAACAAAATAATGTATTCTCTTTATGAATACATGGGGAAATTTGGAATGAGTCTTCTTTGAGAAGAAACAAGTATCACAAGACTAAAAAGTTTTAATTTTAGTACTGCTTTTATTAAATGGAGGTTAAGATAAAACTTGGGGATACGGATGATCGAGCTGCAGATGTAGCAAAGAGGCGGACTCAGCTTTAGATGTACATGCTTGAGAAGGGTAGGCATAGACTTAGCTGCGTGCTTTACATTTTCCAATTTACGTCTTTGTAGTTTGGTCCAGTATAACATAATGTTGATCATCAAAACAATATGAAATTTGAAAAGAAGCTTGCATATGCTTCCCGCCCCTGATGGTACCCACAGAGCTGGGAAACGGAGGACTCCTTGATGGGTAATAATCCATGGATTCCACCCGGTAGGTTCATACCGACTAGAAGGTTTCAAATCCGACGCCCTATCACCTGGTTGACCGGGGTAGTCTGACCGGTTAGGGGTGAGAAGATTCGGAATCACAGACATGGCTTCATCTGACGAAGGCATACAAGCTAACCGGTTGGGGACTGACCGGCCGGAAGAGCAGAGACGTGCTTGACGTGTTTAGTCATTATTATAAATAGGACTAAAAGCCTCATTTGTGAGGCATGCTTTAATTAATTGATACGGCTTATATCTTGTAAATAGTCCAACTATCATTAATAACGAACCGGGTTACAGGTGTTTTCACCTACAGTTCTTCCGCTCATTTACACTTAATATTTGCACGGTATTTACACCATCAAGAGCTTTAATTTTGTAAGTATCTAAATCAACCTAATGTCATTAACAAGTGTTCGCAAATCAAACTCAAAATGATATGAAGCCGAAATAACTTGAACCTTATAGTACCAAATTCAAACTCGATTTGATCGATTGTTCTGCCAGCTTTAGCATTGACAATAATACTCAGGGCATTACAGTGTTAGCCCTACAAAAGCCAATTAAGCTTGGAACATTTCAAATTAAACTTCAAATTTGCTCATAACTTGTGAGACGAGTAAAGTCAGGGTAATTCCATATGGGTGACTCCATTGGTGATCTGGTAGTTTGCACAGACAATAATCATATGTGTGTGATATAGACAATTATCAAGTAGGGTATTAATGTATGCTTGTGCATGTAAAACATGAGGTCACCCATATAGGGTTACCCTAGTGGTAAGTAGTAACTAAGGTCTCTTCTTAGACAGCATAAACTGCAAACATCACTTTGTGAGTAAGGGGTAGTGTTTAAGTGCGACATTCAGCATTGCCCATTTGAAACTCCGCCAAAAGGGGAAGGAACAATCTCACGCTCTCTGACAACAAAATCACTCTTGTTGGGGCAAACACATAACTCTCGATGACTCGCTTTCTAAAATTCAAAGAAGAAATGATCGTTAACGGACCCATGTTGATCTATTTGGGCACCTGGCCCATTTTTGATAACTTGTTAATGTCATTAATCATTTACTTGTTTACAGTCTACAATACATTATCAATTTCTGCCTCCCTCCGTTATTTGACCAATTTACTTCAAAAAGTAAAATGTCAGTGGTCGGAATTAGTTTTAAAGAAAGTGAAGAAATATTCTTGACATATAGTTTATTAAGGGTTTCTTTTGAAATAATCTTAGAAATTAGTGTTAGCGTAATGAAAAAGTTATCTGCGTGCATTGTTATCCTTAGTGTTTTTTAAAACTAATTTACATCATTAAAATATTACCTAAAATGCTAACACTAATAAAAAAACATTATTCCAAAAAGAATTGTATGTTGATCACAATCTAAAATATGTGCATAAGTGCATTGGTTGGTTTCTTTAGGTCAAACTAGTACACATTTCTCATAATGTACTACATTTGTAACGAATATACTACATTACTCCGTATTATTTATATCACAATATGCTTTGACTGACAAATTTAGAGCTAAGTGCTTACACTGTGTATTTTATATCACAATATCATAATAAGTTACACATACTCGCACTCACCCACAAAAGTTCTTACACCGATTTTTTAGGTCAATATACACTTTGATCACAAATTAATTTTAGATTTAAATAAATATATAAAACAAGATCTTAAAATAAATTGAATTTTATAAAATTAAATTATAACTTTATATTTTTTTATAACTAGTATTTGACCCGTGCCACGCACGGGGTCGAACGCATGTTATTTTTAATTCTACTAATTTTTTTTAAGTAAATAATTTTAAAATAAAGGTAAATATAATATAGAATGTTAGATACGACATAGTCATATTATGCTAACTTAAATTCATTTATATAAATATTGAAAAGGACGTATAAATGTATTAATTAAATCCATTTTTTTTGGAAAACTTCAAGGTAAATTGAAACCACATTTTTTGTGTAATTGCAAGGGTTCCCGTTGACATCAAAAACTAACACTTTTAATTCTTTCTTAATTTTCACTCGTAAAACTGCAACATGAAGTTGACTGTGAGTGAATATCGATTTGGTATAGTTTGGTGTTTTAGCAGAATTTTTCCAGTTCAGTTTTCTTGATTTTTTCTAGGAATTTTATGTATTTAAATCACCATAAATAAAACTAACACATAGAAAAATGTATCAAAATAGGATTTTCATATTTTTTTTCCCGAAATAAGACTTCGCACTATGGTAATGTGGTTGTAATGTGGCACTGTACATGTGCACATTACTATACTTTTTAGTGATGTACATGACCATATTTGGTAATGTAAATTCATTTTAAGTCTTCTTTCAGAAATAAAAACATAAGTCCTATTTTGGTATATTTTTAATGTTTTAGTCCTAATTTGGTCTTTCTACATTTTCTATATCGGTTTGGTACCCTCTCACCCCTAATATAAAATATTAAAATGACATGACTTTTTAATGAAGCATTTCATTTAAATGTAAAATACAAATGATTTAAGTTTACTAAATGTTTTAATTATTTACTTCTTCTCCCCGCATAAATTCAAAAAAAAAAAATAAACATTAAAGATCTTATAATGGTATCTTATAACGGTATCCTAGTCCCATCCAACCTTGCGTTTAGTTTATCTGAAAAATACTACGGAGTATGACCTACTTTTGAATAGCCTAGGTAACAATGTCAAACAAATATATAATAATAATTATTGAGTGCAACGTTTTTCATCATAGTAACATAAAAGAATATGGAGTACATTTATATATAAAATAATATAAGCAGAGACATATACTGACTCATCTCAAAAGTCCAGGGGAAACTCAAGTCTTGGAGTGCGATAGTATCCACTCCTATTGCCGGCGCCAAAATAAGCATAGACATATACCGAACCTCCCTTTATTCTCTTTTCAAAAATTCTCACCAAGCCTTTTCAAACTGTGGAATGGATAGTAGTTTCCTACACAATCTCCAAAAAGATCATAATCAATGGATATATTTCTATATTTTATTTTTTTTAGATTCATCCCTCCATCATATGTGTTTCTTTTCTCATTTAGAAATAATTACATAACAATCTTACACAGAGTCACTGAGACTCACTTAAACAATAAGAATGGAAAGACACTGAGTGTTGAGGCAAAGCAAATCCAGTGTTCTGATTGAATCAAATGTGTGTATTGAACCAATATACTCAAATAACTGTGCAACATAATTGATTGGTTCAATATTGAAAATACACTGTTTGGTTAAAAGAATCTTGAAACACACAGAAGATTGGGTCTATAAACACTCTAAACATAACACTTTTTTAAACAATTACAATGGAAAGACACTGAGCTTAAAACAAATAGAATGCCAGTTTTTTTATTGAACCAACGGAGTTTATTGAACCAATGTATTAAGGTATCTATGCAAAACTATGTAATGTACTAACATATAAGTTAATGTGTTGCAATACTACTTCGAAGTTCTGATTCTGAATTCTGTTAGGTTAGTTCCATACCATTTTGCAAAAATGATTGTTGTGATTTATATATTCATTGTGTTGGATCACAATTTTTAGTGTATAAGGGATGGGATAAATTAAACACCAATATATAAAGATGTGGTTTACTTTCCTTCAAAGAAGATATTGTTATCTCTAAGGAATAAAGACATGCCTGTGGTTGAGTCCTCTCATCCCAAAAGAAACTGAAGCCACCTTCAGGTAGAATTGGGCTCTAAATGTGGTGGTGGTACGCATGACGATGCCATTTTTGGTTCAGTGCTATTCTTTATGTGGCGTGTACTTCCAACTCATATTTCTATGTGCTAGATTTAGCATGCTTCAATTACCTTCTGGCTATGGAATCGCTGCCATCTTGGGCTAGAACTGCCCGCCATCTTTCATCACTAAAAGCCAATCCGTATTAGATGAGATCTCTATAAAGCTTGTCGGGCATGATCGTATCTTCGACCTCCATTGGTTGTAGGAACACTTAAAAATCTTATCAAATCAAAACCACCCATTTCCTCAAATAAGTTGAAACAATCAACAACTATAGGCTCCAATTACTAATGCATTAACGCCAATTACCTCATCCATTTGTCAAAGATATCCATTTGTTTAGCAGCAACTAATTCTTCAACAAACCTAACATCAAAAATAAAAACATCATCATACGCACTAAGAATTAGGACCAAACGACCACCGAGTCATACTAAAAATAAGCACAAAAAAATTTGAAAAATTATATGAACATCAAGAATAAGTTTGAACAATAAAAAATCTGTTTCAAATAGCCCAACAGCCTCAGAATAGCTCCAAACAGCTTCCTAATTGAACAATTAAGCATCTTTGAACAGCCTAGCAATAACATGCCACAAATATTTTTGGAAGTAAATATTATTAGAAATAGAAGAAAAACTTCCATTTAAAAAGAAGCAAAAACTTTTAACTTTATTTGGAAAAGAAATTACTCGGATAAATGTACACAACTATCCACACTTCTTGCATGAAGAAAAGAACCCTTATCAGTAGACAAAGCAGTGTATATCAACAATTTTTGAAACCCAACCAAATTTGTTTTGACACCGGAGGTGGATTCGTGAACAGATTTGAAATGTGAAAAGGTTAAGACGTGAGTGTGAAAACATTACAGAGAACTCTATGAATGAAGGCAAACTGGAAACTTGTCGTTCAACATAGGGCTCACAGGATCAATATTTGATACATTTGGAGATTTCGAGAACCTAAGCATAGTGTAAGTGAACATCATATTACTAACTTGACCTTGATTATGATGTGTATCCCCAACCCCCGTAAACTTGTTTGTTCACATTTCTGAATTCTTGGAGGGTGCCTCAATTCAATGAGTGCTTCAAAGTTGACCCGACCTGTTTTTGACCCGGAACCCGACCTAAAAACACTGAGTTTTGAACAAAGGTTTTGATGACCGAACCCGAAATGACCCGCAAAAAATGGGTCAAACCTGACCGAATCCGAACCCGACCTGACCGATCCGCTAAAGTAATGATTTTTCAAATTTATACACTTTACTACTCGTTTTTAGTGTATAAATTTATATTTTCAGACAAAATTTTAATGATATTACATAATTATCTTACTTTTTTTTTCTCCAAAACTTTAGCATATATAAATTCCTTATATTGATTTATATATCTAAAAGTTACTCCAAAGTTTAAAATAAAATAATTTTATAGATTTAATACATTTTTTTGATATTTTAAATTTATTTAATAGAAAATGTAAGTGTTAATGTGAATTTAAAAATTTAAAAAATCAAAGTCAAAACCCGTTGGGTCGACCCCAACCCGATGACACTGGGTCATGAACATACACTTTTCAACCCGAACCTGAATTGACCCGAACCTGAAATAACCCAAACTTAAAGTAACTTATCCCCAATCCAACGTCTGACCCATTTGCCAGCTCTACCTCTAATCAATAAATCATACTCAATATTAAGAAAAACCTCAATCAATACCAGAGAAGTAATAAATACAAATCAATATTAAGAAAAAGAATATTGCAACATCATTTTTAAAAAATACGATGTTTTTCTTTTCTTATTTTTCTATTTTCCGTAATTTCCTATTTTGGTTTTGTTGTTTCCTATGTAACTAGAAATACATAAAATCGAGGTTTTATGTATAAGAAACCCAAAAGTATTGTTTTTGTATTTTAGGACATTTTTTTAGAGAAAAAAAGACAAAAAGAGGCAAAGCTTTAACTTGAAAAAAATAATGTCAGAGTACAATTTAGAACATTAAGCAACTCAATCTACAACTTCAAGTCTTCAACGGATTAAGCAAAAAGGACATTAAGAGGCAAGCATCTCACTCACACAATAAAGGGATATGTGACAAATTAAGGCACAATTTAAGAATAATATGAAGGTAGATGACCTGGTAACAGAAACACCAAAGCCTAAGAAAGTACAAAGACAGAGACGTACTATCCGAGTGAGATGGATAATACCTTGAGGGTTTCAGTGAGATGGATAATACCTTGATGGATAATACCTTGAGGGTTTCAGTGAGATGAAATTGACCACAAAAACCATGTGATCACCCGAAGGAACATTAAAACCAAAAATTGATTTCGAAGTCACTAAGCACACAAATAGTCCTCACAGAAACTTTGAAATCACATTCAAAAAACCAAAGAATATATGGAGTATAAGAATATTTGGGGAAAGAATAAAGAACCCTAACAATTTGGGGAAAATAAAATTAATGCAAATTTACCCAAGATCAATGCTCGGTAGTAAACCAATCAAAGGAAAGAATACCTGATTTTACACGAAAAAGCACCTCATACGCCGGAAATTGGGTATGAAGTGAATCTGCCCAAAAACACATGAAAATCGAAATAGAGGAATTGCTTGTTGGGATGGAAATGCATAAAAATATCCACAATTGTTATCAACGAAACAATAGTACTGAATTAGGAATAAATCAAGCAGACGGAGAATTTTATTTTTTAAATGTAGATATAGAATACCTTGTTCTGTTGAGTTACGAAATCCGGGAGAGATTGAAATGAATCTGCCCAAAAACACATTCAATGATATGCCTAAACCATTCAACGATTATAATCGAAGAAATGGATTCGTAGTTGATATGGTATGAAATCTGCATAATTAAAATAGTAGTGTGTCTGATTTTGTTCAGGAAAGGAGGGGAGATGAAACGGAGATCGCGATTGACTGAGGAAGAAAAGGAAAGGCGACATTTTAGGTGCGATTCTTCAGAGATCGGGAAGAAACTGGGTTTCTTTTTTTCCTCTTTAGGTGGTGGTTTAGGCTGTGTGACATGTCAACTTCCACATCAGATTTAATATTCTAAAAAAGTGACACATCAAATTTACCAAATGTCGTACATTAGCTTCGCCAAATGTCGCTTTCCTGTAGTTTCGACTCTCATTTATTCTCCAAAAGGTGAAATCGCTCACCCCGGGCGCCCCTCACCCCCGACCCGACGGAAATGTGAGAGGAGGTAAATCACGGTGACCCAAGCACAACACTCAGCTAGACCATATCCTAGTGCGCACCAGAGACTCCCCCCATTTTTCAGAGGTGGTCGCCTCCACAACGGTCGCTGCCTTCGACTCTCATTTATATATATAAAGGATTTGTGGCAAACATTGTAAAATGTGAATGAAAAAAAGCAAGTGTAAGAAATTTGAATAAAAATCACCCTAAATAAGACTAAAACATAGAGACAAGTATCAAAATAGGACTTTCGGGTTTTTTCTTTAAATAGGATTTTGCACTGAGTTAATATGACTTTACACTGTGGTAATGTGGCAGTGTACATGTACACATTACTATACTTTTTTTCGTAATCTATATGACCATTTTTGGTAATCTAAGTCATATTTCAGGAATAAAATCATGGAAATATTATTTTGATACATTTTCAATGTTTTAGTCATACTTTGATCCTTCTCCCAAATTTGAAATTTTATGAGACCGATGAAGTATAAGTTTAAAGGTAGTGAAGACATATTGTATTTTATACAATGATACTCACTTTGTCCCAAAAAAGTTCTGTTCGGTTTATGATGTTTGACTAAGGTTATTTTCAAATTAATATAAGTAAAAATTGGTGTAGAATTTAAAATACAAAAACTTATATATTAAAAACTACATCAAAAGTTTTACAAAACTAGTAGTAACATGGTTAATTTGTTTTATCAAATGATCGATGAAAATTTATAAAGAAAGTAGAGTTAGTTGTTATTTTTGAATACTAATAACTCTATTATAATGTAGTATATGTTCATACATTTCTACTCATTAAGCACATAAAGTTATTAACTTATTACTCCAACTGGAGTTCAAACTAGGGACGACCTCTCATATGAGAGAGTCTCTATGGTGCCCGTCGTCCAAAAGGTCAAAATATAAAGTAGAATTAGTTGGACATGTGAATAGTAACTTGAAGTCTTTTTTTGGACAAATAAAGTACTCTCTGTCCCACAAAACTTTTTCTCTTTCCTTTTTCATCCGTCCCAAAAAACACTTCTTTTTTCCTATAAAAAAGTTACTTTTACCCCTATTAATTATTAACCTACCTATCACATCACACTTTTTCTTTATTAATCTGTCCATCTCATCTTACTTTATCCATCACATCAAATGATATTTTTGGAAAGTCAACACGTAAAGACACTCACCTTAAATCTTTTAAAAGTCAAAATAAGAAATTTTTTAAAGGACGGAGGAAGTATTATGTACTCCATATAAAATAGTGTACGAAAGAAATTGTTGTATTGTTATACTTCCTCCAACAATTGTTTCCAGGGTGAATTCCCTGTTTGTGTAAAAAGCATGCAACGCATTCCATTATATGTAATTCAAATATACATTTTCTCTAATAATGCCAACCGGATTTGCCCACTCCGTTTCGGAGGTATTTATTTCCCCAAGCGGATTAGGCTAGTCCGTTTCTCTCATTTAATTACTAAACGGATTAGCCTAATCCGTTTTGCCTTTAATTTTTTTTAATAATTTATTAATGTACGGAGCTCATTTGTTGCCTAATATCTTTTCTTTAAACTTTTTTTAGTTATTTTATCTCCACTTGTATAAACTTTTTTTTAAACTTTTTTAATTTTATTTTATAAAATAATTGTATTAAAAAATTTTAAAATTTTAGTTTATGAATGAAACCAATTTACTTTTATTACTTTTAAATTATTTATAAGAAACTAAATTCATTACAAAATAAAGGAAACATACATAAAGATGTAAAAATATACTATAATAAAATTTTAAAAAATAATATTTATTGACTTTAAGTTGTATTTATATAACGAGATTAAAAGAACAAGACATAATTTAATAATTTTATTACTAGAGTGCACATAATAATTTATTCATAAAAAGAAGAAGCCAAAACACAATCCATGACAAACTTATTTGGAATATCTAATAATACATAAACTCAGACATAATTGAAATTAATGACACAGCTATTCCTCGTTACGATGTCTCCGTGGTCGATAGTCCATGTAATTCTGATAGCGGGTTCTCGTACGTCGGCCGGTTCGTGTGGTCTGTCGTGGCGTTGGCCTTAGGATCTCGTACTCTGAAGTAGGCCATTCGGATTCATCTGGTAGCGGCATAATGATGCCAGAGTAAGCGTTGATGTAAGACTGAATTGAAAAAACATTTGGAATCAAATGGTCCATGGTGACACTACAGTAATGACATACTGCATGGACATGATTGCACGGGAGGTGAAATGTAACCCATTTACCACAGCTACATGTTCGTGCATTTAAGTTCATCGTAAATGTCTCCCACTGCGCAATGTAGGACGACCCATCCACCACCACAGAGTATATCCCTGCTTGTGCGTGGTGCTGTACAACACGACAATACAACCTATTTTCTTCATTTTTCCTAATATGTTTCCAAACATTCACAGGAAAATTATACCCGGATTGCTGCCATACATATCCATTGGTTCGCCTCTCAGCGAAAAGTTTTACCAACTTATCATAGGTGAACTGCACAATGGCATATACTGGCAAACAACGACATCCTTTAAGGACATGATTGAAACTTTCTGAGGAATTTGTAGTCATTATACCACAACGTGCCCCACCTTCATCATGTGACAAAGCCCACTTGTGTTTTGGAATGACATTAAGCCAGTTGTAGGCTTCTTGATTTTTGGATGCTATTTGGAGTAGCATCTGGTCAAAATCACTTCTGTATGCCCTTCTCGGAATATGTCCTGGATTGTATACTGGTTGCTGCTGAGGATGATTGAGGATAGATGCATGTCCAAGAGCACGTATACAATCACCTAACAAGTCATGAACTAGCGCTACCTCGTGAGAAGGTACAAAACCATCCGGGTGCCTACCTGGATCAAGTCGCTGATGACATACAAGATAGCTACGCACAATACCATGATTAGTCGCATAAAATTTAATAAGCAAAAACTTTGAATATAAATAATACATACTGCTGTCTGTAGCTCAGGAGAAATGGGGACGTAGCCTGTTCTAGGCTGATGTGCAGGGTTTCTATTTGTCTTCGACCATGGAGGTAATACCACTGACGATACTCAGGCGTGGCATCCGACATCCCAAATTCCATCAGTACATTTGCAGCGTAACGTCCCTCCCATACACCTAAATAATGTCTCTCATTGTCACCGAGCTCCATAGTGGTCAACTTAATGTTATGTAGGCGTCGATCATACACAACATCGAGAGGAACACGTTGGAGGGCACCAAACTGTCTGCAAAATCGATCCGGATAGCACATCTCCACGACATAGCCATAGATCAAAGGGATGCGTGATGTCCATATTGGGAGTCCGACTGAACAAAAGGGTGGTAGGGTCTCGAGATTCGGATACGGCATCCAAACAAACTGCATACATAAAAAAGGAATACAATAGACATTTAAAATATTATATATATGCATAACATTGTGATGTGTTTAGTACTTACCTCTCCCTCGAGCAACCTATCTAGCTGGTCCCTGTACGCTCGTAAGGAGTGTGTCGTACAATCTGACCACCGATGATAACAAACCCATCTACCAATGGAGGATTAAACATTAACAGGAATAAAATAAATTGAGTATATACATGATAGACATAAATAAATGGAAAATACCTGACTCCGTATGGAACATTAACCAGCTGCTCCAATGGTACAATCCCCCTAGGTCTAGTCATAGGCAGACGTTCCCATGCCCAAAGCAGTAAGAGGATAAGACACCCTCCTATCTGAGATACATGTGTCATGCTCGCACGACACATACTACGATACAAGAAACTAAGAACCGCAGCACCTATGGCACGACCCCGCACCAGCACAGAGTCACCCATGATTACCTCCAACAGATACAAACTAACCTTATTTCCCGTCGTGTTGGGAAATAAGCTGCCACCCATCAACTTAAACATGATAGCTCTAGCATGCTGTTGGTAATCAACTTCTACATTGTGCTCTGTCAGCGTCTTCGGTTCAATTGCAGATATCTTAATCGTAGAAGACGTAATATCAGATGGTTCAGGTCTCAAACCCATCATGTCATCACAAATCTGAATCCACTGATCTCTTGATCGACTAGTGCCCCCGACAATGGAATGCCATCTACGGGCAATCCAAGTAAAACCTCAACATCTTGTAGCGTAATTCTCACCTCTCCAAATGGAAGATGGAATGAATGTGTCTCGGGTCTCCATCTCTCCACTAAAGAAGTAATCAGAGCCCAATCTAACTGTAATCCACCCACTTTCTCCACCCCATAAAATCCATAATCTTGTAAGATCTTTATGAGGTGGTCTATTAGCAACTAGTGTCCTCGGATATATACTAAAACAAGTCCTATGGCACTTTAGACTTTTTTTGGCATATTCTTCGTCCGCCCATACCACATCACACCTATGTACTCCGCCTTCAAGAACTAAAACGTCTCGTGAAATAGGTCCCGGATGAACATCCATTTGCTTCAATGATTACAGAATAACAATTTATTCATTTAATAACAACGCATTTCATTCAAACATTACAACATAAGAATTTATTGATTTAATACAAGCCGCAACTAGGCAATTACAAACTAATAACATATATCAATTATAATAAACAAATTCACCCAAATTGGTAATTCTATATAATTTTTACAATTTTATAAAACTATATATATATATATATATATATATATATATATATATGATAATAAATCTAAATATTATCATAAAATGATAAATATATATATATCAATTAACTAAAAAATAAAAAATACCTCCATGAAACGGATTAGGCTAATCCGAATTGTCCTGGTTGGATTTCCGTCGGTCGGCGCTTGGTGGTGGCGATCTCTCTCGTCGGTCGGCGGATGAGTGGACGGAAGGGGATGGCGAATGAGTGGACGGAAGGGGTAGGGGGTTGGGGTTATCCGAATAGAGAGACGGAGTAGGCTAATCCGTCTGGCTTTAATTTCATATGAAACGGATTTGCCTACTCCGTTTGGGGTTTTTTTAATATGGCGAAACGCAGTACGCTACTCCGTTTGATAAATTAAAAACCTAAAACGGATTTGGCTAATCCGTTTCATTTAAAATTTTCAAATTGAAACGGATTTGGCTAATCCGTCCTGCACTGCCAGGAAAAAAAAGTCTAACTTACACTGCCTGGAATGGATATTTTTTTGTTACATATCTTGGTAAATTACTCTTGTTTCCAGCCCATTTCATCCACTCACCTCATTTAATTACTCTAAACCTAGGGTGTGCATTATTTGGTTCAAACTAGGGACGACCTCTCATATGAGAGAGTCTCTATGGTGCCTGTCGTCCAAAAGGTCAAAATATAAAGTAGAATTATTGCTAAAGTACAAACCAAAAATTTGGTTCCTCCAACAATTTTTTCTTATTTGGGTTTCGGTCCAGTCCGGACAGGTGGACCGGTAACATTTTTTAAAAAACAAAAATTTTCTGTATTGTTTTACTCCGTAGTTTTTTAAGTTTTTTTTATACTTAAAATTAATTTAACTTTAATAATAAAAGTTTTTCAAATTTTTTGATTTTATTATTTAGTATAAATTTTTTAATATATTTCAATTAAAAATAAGATACCAATTCTAATGATATTTAAATATTTTTAATATAAAAAGTGTGAAAAAGTAAACATTATCTTTATGTTAGTGATCTAATGCATTTCAAATTTATGTACCAATATTATAACTTAAGTTTGTACTTTAGCAATAATGAAACTCTAATCAACAAAAAGTAAACAATCCAATGAACAAAAATAGTAAAAAATGTATCCTTTTGCCAAAATAAACCGAAAACACAAAAAACTTTTAACAAAGAAGCAAAAATACAGTATGAAGAAGAATATTCCATATGTAAAATAAAAATTCCGAACAAATTTTATGTAATACGGATAGAAGATATATATTTTATTTAAAGTTTAAAAAAATTAAAAACAGTAGTGTTTGACAATGTTTTGTGTATGTTACAAATTAAAAATTAATTGTAGTAATATTTTTATGCAATTGAATACATTAAATTAAATAAATAAAACCAAATTTAAAAAAATTAAAAATAACATTTATTCGGTCCGGTCCTGGTCCAGTCTAGATTTTATCGGTCTAGTCTCGGGCCAGTCCTTATCTTAATCGGTGTGGTCCTTGGTCTACCAAATGCCCCTTATTCGGTCCCGGTCCCGTCCGCTCCGGTCTAGGTTTGACCCGATAAACACCTCTATTTTAAACCCAGTTTTGTTTAGTACTTCAAAATTCACTTTTCAAAAGACAAGTATATAAAATTTATATTAATGAAAATTAAATGAATTTAAGAAATTTTGATGAAAAATAAAAATTTAGTAGTTTAATTTAACTACATTTAAAACATTTTAACAAATTCAAATTTGCATATTGTCATTCTCTAAAATAGGAGTGATACTTTTACCCAGGGGCAGAGCCAGGTTCAAATATTTGTGGGTGCAATATTCTCTGAGTAATTAAATTGGTTTGATACAAAACAAAACAAAAACAAGAATTATATTTAAATACCACCATATAAGAAAAAAAATCTAATTACCAAAAATTGGCAAGTTGGTTGTGGGTGATTTTTTTGACTTATTGTGATTTTTTAATTAAGAAAAAAATAAAAATAAAAAGAGAAAAAAGATACAGATCTCGTGAAGAAACAGATCGACATCAACTAAAATTTCCTCTACCCTAGCGAGCAAAAAGAAACATATATGGTGCAACTAAGTGGCTCTTCGCCGGAAAATTCCATTCTCGGAGTTGCATCGGGACACTCCTCTCCTACCTCAAGAAAATTGGGATTGCAAATCCTTGTGAATTTAATGGAAATGGAAGTTAACTACTCTATATATATATACATTAAACATGAAATTGGAGTGACTGCAATTGCAATCACTTGCACCAATGTACCTCTGCCCCTGCTTTTACCCTCAAAGCATGACTATTGCAATGTATCAATATCGATCTCGTATCAATTGGAGAAAAAAGAAGAGGTAGACAAAGGTGGAAAACTTCGACCGTTTCCGGACATCCAAGAATAGAAAAAGAAGATTATGAGTAATTCTTGATGATTAATTGATTGAATAATAATAACAAAGGATTAAAATGTATAAAGAATGCAAATAACGCTAATTGACCTAATGGGCTCGAGTCCATCTAAACCATCAATAAATAATATTAGAGTTTATCCCACATCGGAAGTTGAATAGAAAAGTTATCAGTTTATAAGGTTCTGAGTTGAACTAACTAATCGATTGGATTCAATTTTTTTATTGTGGTTCAACCCAAATGTCTTATTACCCAATTTAGTTGTCCATAACCATCTTAAATTTATCAAATAATAATAAATAACTACTAAATAATAATAACTAATTAAAATATTATTCCGTATAATTAATTCTCCGTATCAGAGGGCTACCGCTCTTCCCGTTCTCACCGGAGGGTAGCGGTGTTTCGGTTCACGTGGCATCCTCTTCTCCTTTCCCGGGCGGCACGCCACATGGCCTAACCGAGCTGAGAATGGGGAACTAGTTGGGTCAAATGTGATTCTTACTATCTTTGTTGTTTGAATTTTTAACTTTTGGTGTTCATCCTATATATGTTGTTCTTTGTGCGGAGTAATATATACTCGCAATGTGTTTTACCTTTAGCATTGCTAATACTCCTATTTACAATGTATTTGTTACATTTTAAATTATATTTTGTTTTCAAATCAATTTAAACAAGGATAAAACATGCACAAACTTTTAAACATATTCAGCATTTTTAAAACATAACATATAAATAAAATTTTAGAGGGAATACTAGGGATACTCCAAACAGACATAAATGTTTGTGTTTGTGTTTGGTGCTGTTGAGGTACCGAATGATTTTCCGAATTTTAAACAAACTCGGAAACAAGTGAGAAGTTAGGATTCACGCTTTGCACAACCCGTGTTCGTTGAACTAGGGATACATGCATGCACTAATAGGAAATTTCTCGCAATATACTCTCTCCATCCCAAATTAAATTAGATGTTTTCTGTTTGTAGGTCAAACTTTATTCACTTTTTTCTTTATTTCCATTACTTGTTTAATAAAGTAATATTGTCTTGTCATATCTTCATTAGTAAAACTTTTGATAAACTTTTTTAATGTGTAAAGTTTACTTATTTTTTAATCTCGTTCTAATTTTTTACTCCCTCTGGTTTTAAAAATCTTTCTTCTTTTGACTTTTTTCTCAAATAGTTAAACTTTTTTATCACAAATTGCGAGAAAAGTATATTCAATTACAATATAAATTCAATTTAATTGGCTTCATCTTAGGATATATTTTTGATATATTAGAATTTTATATCATTAATTTATTTAAATAATGTTTAAATTAAAGTCAAAGCGTGTCACTATTTGATCAAAAAAAGTCAAAGTAGGAAAGATTTTTAGGACCGGAGAAAGTAATAAATTACATTAAAAAGATTTAAATGAGGAGGTAGCTAGTAATTTAGTAATCCGTGATTCCTCTAGAGCCCTTCTTCGTCTAATTAGTAATCGCCCCAATTATCATGATTTACACTCTCAAATTCCCGTTGAGTAGAGATTGAGAGACGCCCGAGTTCTTGTTGATCGCTACGGCTTCGTGCCTTCGTGACAAAAGCAATCATCAAAGTGTGAAAAAAAAGTGAAATTTGCACTTAATAAGACTAAAACATAATGACTTTCCTAATCTAGGACTTAAACTTTTTTATTCCTTAAATATGACTTATTAATGTCTTCGTAGAAGGAATAATGTCCAGCAATGATAGACATTACTTGAATAATGACTAAAGAATAATGACCAAAAGTCCTACATTCGAAAATAAAAACATATGGTCTTATTTTGGGAAAGTCATTATGTTTTAATCCTATTTAGGTAAATTACTCAAAAAAAAGATGACTTTCTCTTGCCAAACTTCTCCTCCCCTCTTGCCACAAACTTCACCAACGTTTCTTTCTTCTTTTTTCCACGGCCACTCCCGATTTCCCTCCTTTTCCCATTTACAAAAAACAAAGAAATATAATAATACTTCAAATAAAAAGTTCTCCGCAATCGATTCAAGAAGACAAACTTTTGCCAAAAGCTAGTAGTCTCCTCTTCTCCCCCCCCCCCCTTCTTCCCTCTCCCTCCACAGTCCACTCCTGCACTCAAACTCATTCCCTCCCATCGCCAATGGAACTCACCACCTCACAGCTCCAGAATTCCCTTCATCTTTCTCCATTCATCTTAGCCTGGGCAGTTCTGTTTCCAGTTTCTGCAGAGCCCGC